AAAAAAAAAGGAAAGTAGCTTTAGGGGGAATGTGCTGTGGAGTGTGAAATTGCAGCCCGTGGTGCTCCATATTGTACCAGAAGCTCTCCAAAAACTCATCCTGCAACGTGACCAGAGGTGCTTAGAGGGAGAGGGGCTCGGAGACGGGGGGAGGGGAAGGATGGGGGCCTTTATTCTTCATCCTCTCTCTTCCTTCCTTTTAATTGTTCGCTTAAAACGAAACTTTGGGTGTATCTGTTAACCTGGGCCCGGCAGCGCAGTCCCCGCCTCGAGCCTCCCGGCCGGAGCGGGAAGGGCTGGGGGAGACGGGGGGGAGCGGGGGACGAGAGTGGCTCCCCAGACACCCTTTAATTCAGTGGCCCCGCACGACAGCGAGACGGGACCATCGCCCTCCCCACCGGCACCCCGAAGTCACAAGTACAGATCTTATCAAAGCGACGCCCCCCTCCCTCTGCCCCAGGATTCATTCCCGCAGAATCTCACATCCCTAGGTTCTCTTTTCCCTTCATGGCCAGGGATTTTGCCCCTTATTTTCTCATGCGACGTTAAATTAATTGTCACAGGTTAGAAAAATATACATGGACGGTCGGGGTAGATCTATCGTGTAAATTCGCAAATGCAGCGCGGGACAATATCGGGGACTGTGCAACCGCCCCCAAACTACTAACGCTTGGGCCGAAAACGCTCACAGACTTGGCGAAATCAGAAAAGCGTTTGCCGAACTGCAGAGAGAGCAGCATTTCGAGCAGGGAGCAGCACCGAACTGCCCCCGCCGCCCCCTCCCAGCAGGCCGCGTCTACGGCAACAGACTGCGCGTAACTGGGCGCCAGTCTATGGAGCACGGGGAAGCGACGTGGGAGAAACTTCTGGCTCGGGGGCGACGGTCGCAGGCATTTTTTTTTCACGATTTTGCTGAAGGCCCGAACCTTCCACCCACCTCCACAACGTTGCCTGGAGGAGCAGAGGGCAGCACAGCCCCGGGAGCCCCGCGAGCCCCTCGTGGCGCCCCGTGCGCCGGGACAGGAGGAGACACCGGGATCAAGAGCGAAGGTTTAGGCTTGATCAGTTGGAGAAAGGCGGCTAATGAAGCAGATCCAGAGATCGCTATCGCCCTAACTCCCCCCAAAAGTTTATTTTTCTTGAAATTTCCGCAGAGAGGCGGGCGCCTCTTTTGAAGTGTAAATGGGTGTAGGTTGGGGGGGGTTAGAGAAGACGGGGGAGATCCTCAGATCCTCGTTGAGAAAAAGGAAAATGAAAGCAAGGGAGAAAGAAAGAAGGAAAAAAAGAAAGAGGGAAAGAAGGAAAGAGGGAAAGAAAGAGCGAAAGAGGGAAAAAGAAAGAGGAAGAGGTTCAATTACACATTAAAAAGCAGACGGGACGAAGGTGCCCAAGCACATGAGATGGGGCCAGGGGCTCGTGGGGAGGGGGACAGGCCCTGCTCCGGGGCTGCCCTGGTTCGCAGGGCCGCTTGGATCAGCGCAGGGCCGAGGGACGGGCTGGTGTTTTCAATCAGGTCAGAAATTGTTGGGTGGATTTCAATGTTGACAAAGCAATTCTTCCAGGAAGTCTGGTGTGGGAAGGGGGCACCAGGTGATATTTTGGTATGTGCGGTGGGGGAAGGGGCAAGCGGCCGGGTAGCTTTTTTTCTCTTTTCTTTTCCTGTTTTCTTTTCTTCCCATTTCTTCTTTTTTTTCTCTCCTTTTTTTTTTCTTTTGTTTCTTGTATTTTCTTCTAATTTGTTCGCTTTCTCTGTCCCTTCCTCCTCTTTTTTTTTTTCGTGAGGAAACGCTCGGGTTTATCACTTACGGGGCTGCTTCTCCGCCGCCGTCGCAGCTTTGCCGCCGGTCGCAGTGTCTGTTGCCGAATCTCTCATCGCCGCCCTTCTCAGCATTGAGCAGGGCAGACAGCAGTGGGGAAGGAGGAAATCAGGGCAAATACACTGTTGAGAAGACATTTCCGACCGCCGACCTCCTCGCCCCACAAAGTTGCTATCTTAGCAGCGGTTAGAGAGGTCCAGAGCAGCCAGACACCAAATGAAGTCCCCAAGTGCTAATGACCGCTCCAGGAGGGAATCCAGGAGGAAGCCCCCTGGGAAGAGGAGTCCTAGGGATGGGGGCACTTAGGAAAAGCAGATATAGCGCTGGAGGGCGTTTCTCTTCCTAATGAGGCTGCTCGGGGCTCCCACGCTCACGGCTGGCCACAACGTGCGGTGATCTGCGGGGCGACCTGTGGGGAGCCAGGCCACCCCGGGCCGCGGGGGGAGCGAGCGGGGAGCCGCTAGGCGAGGAGAAGCGCCCCGGCTTTGTGAGGAGGAGGGGAGCGAGGGCCGCACT